TTTAAAACCTTTAAGGATATATAGAATTTAGTGCTGATACACTGCTCAACTGGTTTGCAGATTTTTATCACTTATAATTATTTTTAATGTATTTATGAAGCAAAAATTCTGAACATTCACTGCTCCGAGCGTTTCTGTTTTATGTGTTTTTGTAAACTGAATAACTTTTTACTGTTTGATCAACACGAGCAGTTTATAGACTTGTTTCTTAAAGAGTGCGATTGGCATTTTTCATTATTTTCTGGCACTTTATTGAGAAAGTAGTTGATCGATTAATAGTAAAACTAATCATTAGTTGCAGCCCGAATACAAATGTGAAAGTTCAGGTTTAGTTCAGCACGATTCAGTGCAGTCGAGTTATTATAGTTCACTAAAACTAAACATTTTAGTTCACTGAAATAAAAACTATATTTTTGAAACTGAAACGATACAAAACAAACTAAAATAAAATAAAAAAATATACATAATATATAAATTATTTGTCTTGTTTAATAATTTAAACAATAAATAAACTGGATTGGGAAACAAAATAGAGAAAAATGCGAAACCTATAATAACTCCAACCTTTTGGTCTCTCCTGTGTCTTTCAGAATAAGACCAGCTGGCACAGATTACTCTGGTAGTTCCCTCTTCCTCCCAACTTAACCACTTCTCGCCAGCTCGTACTCGCTCCATGGCACTCAGGAGTTGACGGGAGGAGGAGTGAGGAACGAGGAAGGAGAAGGAGCTGCGAGCGGACACGCTGCCGCGGGACAAACCACCAGGTTCAAAGTAGTAATGGCGCTGTTGTTTCAGGAGATAAAGAGAAACCTGAATCCCGTTTGAGTTTCTTTTTAATCTCCAAGCGGATTGTGGTCCGTCTTCTGGCAGAAATTGCCCCGATGATGGCCAAAAACTATCAGAAGTTTCAAGAACAGATTCCCCGCGGATAGTGTGGAAAGAGACCTGAATGTATATTTTATGAATCCAGCTGTGTTTTTAATTTAAGTTGTAGCAAAAAACTTACTCTGGAGACCCCTTCACCCCTGCACACACACACACACACACACACACACACACACATATCATGTGAACTTTTCAGTATTGGTGGAAAAATGGTTGATTTATTTCTTTTTTTATTTTATTTAAGTGGTGGCATCTGTTATGGGGGTCTTTGAGTATTTAAATGACGGTCAGTGAGTGTGACATCTGTGTTAACAAAATTAAGTCTGCAACTTTTTTACAAGAAACAAAGGACACACACACACACACGTACAAACACACAGTCTGTTACTTTTTCCTCGTCTTCTGGCAGACGTTTTAAAAGGAATAGCTCGGCCTTTTGGGAAATTTGCTGCTTTACATTCTTGCTGAGCGTTAGATAAAAAGATTGGTAACCACTCTCGTATCTGTGCGCTAAATATGAAGCTGAAGGCAGCAGCCCGGTTAGTTTAGCTCAGCATACAGACTGTAAACGAGGGGGAAACAGCTCTGGCTCTGTCCAAAGGTCGCAAAAATCCACCTCTGATTAAAATGCCACATTTTGGGGGTTTATACGGACAAGGAAACATGTTAAACTGTGTGTTTGAGGGGCTGTGTAGGCGGGACCAGTTGCCAGGCAACCAGTGAGGACACCAAGAAATAGACATAGCCATAAAAACACAGAATTGCCATGTTTGTAGATATTAAACACAAATGAGACAGAATGAGTGAATGAGTGAGCTTTACAGGTGCCAGGTTGTTTCCACCTGTTTCCAGTCTTCGTGCTCAGCTGGCTGTATTTAACATACAGACATCTGAGTGGTATCGATCTGATCTGATCTGATTGTTTCCTATAATATCAAACTTTATTATGGGACTTAATGGGACATAAACTCCCCTCCTCCCCAGTTCTTTACATTTAAAGAACTGTTACTTTTCATTGCGATACACTACATGAGGAAAACCATCACACACACACTTTGTTTTTAATGGCATGCATGGTGCACGTCAGCCGCCATCAGCTGGCTGGATAAAGGCTTTTAAAACAAACAAACACATGCATATTTAAACATGTTTTAAAGATATCATTGAACTACACACACACACACACACACAGAGACGCATTGTAGATTTACTTTAACCCTCCTGTGGCTTCAGATCATGTTTTCCTGCTGTTGAATGTGTGTGTCCCTGTTTATATCTGCTTCACTGTGACAAACAGCTTGAGCGAGGGCTGAAAGAGACCGCAGGAAGAGAAGAGCAACCGGGGAAAATAACAAAAAGGAAGAAGGTTGATAGGACGTCTGCGGCTTCAGTCTACAACAATGATGAGATGTATTTATTTTCAACACTGGGACCTGGCACCCCACAACATGGGCCTGAAAGGAAGTAGATTTAAACTGTAATTTTATTAGATTTTAATAAATGTTATATGGTCATTTTTATTAAAATTGACTTTTTGCCCTTAAGTTTTTTTTGTGTGTTGTTTATCAAGCAACACGAACATCCTCTGAGCTTTCTATTGAGCACGAGTGTCACTGAGATAAAGGAGGGACAGTAACCATCTGTCCTCGAGGCCTCAATAAGTGTTTATTATTAGTATATTCTTCTAGAATATAACTTATAATCATGTAATGTGGCATTTATCCCCAATTAAACCTACATTTTGTGTTTTGCATCCTTTTAAAGTCGGTTTCTAGTAAATTTAATAGTCTGTATTTGTGATTTAAGCGGTGAAAAGCATTTTTGTGCTTTCTTAGTTGAGTCTTAGAAGATTGTGCAGCTTTATAAAGTAGGACAGTGATTCCTGCGGGACAGGAAATAATAAAAATCCATATAAATCTGAGGGGTCACCACATAATTAAAGAGAAATAAAAACAATGTGTTAAATTGTTAAAATTATGCCTTTGATATACGGCTTTTTACTGAGAAGCAATTAATATGAGAAAGATAAAAATCCCTCTTTCTTCATCTTTACTTTTACTATTATTATTAATGTTACTACATTTATTTATCAGCTTTAGTTACTTTGCAGATATATAATATTAATACACAATATAAATCAACTAATAGATTGTTATATATTGTGATAGCTTAGGATACCCAACAGTTTATTTATAAAGTAATTCAAATTAACCCCACAAGTATATTTTTTATCATATAATACTTTCGTACTAAGATTTTGAAAGCAGGACTTTTACTTTTAACAGTTTTACGGCGGGTGCCTGATGTCATTTGCGTCGTACCACGTTGGTATTTCTCATGGTTCTGGATTGGCTTACGTCGATCATGATTACTACGAGCGCCTCCTTCCATATTACGCGGCTTATCACCTTGTCTGATGGTAAAGAACAGAAATCGCATGCGTTTGGAAAAATTGCAAAGACACAATGGCTGACAAACACAATTGCACAAAGTGTCATCTCGGTGCATTCGTATATAATTTAACTCATAATTAAATATTAATACATTTTATTTTTTATCTGATGCCTTTTCATCAGAGGTTCTCAAAAGTGCTTTACAGGTTAGGTTTAGAAAACAAAGCAGATTTAATAAAAAAATAAATAAATATTAAAATATGATGAATAATAATAAGAAGAAAATAAGAAAAAATGTGAGAAAAGAATTTTAAAAAATAAAAATCTCTAAAGGGGTACCAAAAGCTCTTTTTGGCTAAAAAGAATATGTTTGCTTAAGTACTTTTTAACAGCTACGTGGGAATTGTTGGTAGCCTCTCAATGGGTGTCATGTGCGGATGGGCATAGTTCCACCAGACGTGGGCGGGCAGCATCTTAAAGGCCCTATCTCCATGGTCCTGGTTCTGGGTTCTGGGTTATTTGGAGCGAGGTTTGGAGTTGAGTTGGTAGCGATGGATGAGCGTCGTTGTTTTTTGTGGGTTGATAAATTCTTTGATGGAGGTAGCGGGGGGGGCCTATTTGCTCCGACTGGATGCAACTTTGATGGTGAGGGAGAGAAACTTGTACTCAATCCTGGTGGAGTATGGGAAGCAGTGGACACTTGCGTCTGTGAGTGGAGAATGTGCATCACAGGTAATAACGTGTGCCTCATTTTTCCGCACTCTCATGGATCCTAGGCTGCACAGGTTTGGATTGTACTGAAGCCTCTTGCAGACTTTGGCGCAGCACTTTTTCCCAATGGAGAAGTGCGTGTACAAGTAGTTCCATCTTAGAGAAAGGCTCGATTTTGGAGTTAGGACAATGGAGTATCGAGTTAATGTTGGATGCTGCACATTTGAAAACCTGAATATACTTCTGATATGTATTATAATATGATTTATTATCTTCTATTCTTGCTTATGTCTATTTTTCAGATTGAAGT